CTCCTTGATTCCGCCCCCAGCCGCTACCAGCCGGCGTACACGGGTTCCCTGTGCTCCGTCCCGCCGTACGTCGCGTGAGCTCCCGACCCTTGGGGCAGCAGGAGCGACTTCAAAGGCTTCTTCCTGTCCCCTTGCCTTCTCTTCAGAATTACCACACAGACAACAAGGGTTCCCCCTGGAACACAGGGAAGAAGAAACAGGATCAGAGGGGAAAGCAAAGTGGCAGGTGGTGTTTGTTCTATCTAGCACTTCCTGACTGAAATACTACTTTTTATTATAAGGTTTACTTTCCTGGATATTGTGCATAGAAAAGTTTTGGAAAGCTCTAACAATACTCAACTTTGGCATTTCAGATTTGCTGTGAAAGCAGTTGAGAACAGCAGATTTTGATGACAATTCAGTTACTTGCCTTTGTGCTCCATTGCATCTGTCTGTGCTCCTGTTTAGTCGGTTGGACTATTAATTTTCCCCTGGCATCTTCATTAACTAACTGCAGACTAGTTGCATTTGTGCTATCCTAGTGCAGGACCCTGCTGAGAAATTAGTTTGCTCTGTACAGTGCTTAAAATGAAGCACCAGAGGTAACTGACCTAGAGTAACTTAGAGTCTAGACTGGGACTGTCAGAACTGGGACTGGTTGAACCTTCTTCCAAGCTTTGTTCAAAACCTACAAAACTCCTTTTTTCCCACCCTCCCTTGCTAAAATTGCAAATGCTGCTTATTCATTATTTTGGAATCTGCATTCACTATGGAGCCCCCTTGTAGAGAAGCTCATTTGCCTGTTGGCTTCTGGCCTTTTCTGTAATAACTAATTAAAGCAAAGGCTGGGGGTTGTCCCACGTGCCCTTGGTGCAGCCAGCACGTCCCAGGCTGACAACATCCACCTCTGCAGGCTCTGCTGTGAACTAACCCTTCCGCAGCAAAGAGGCTGTTTGCTCCATCCAAAAGGAGTCAGGTACCAGGAAGGGCAGCAAGGGGGCACACAGAACCACCCATAGCTGCCCCACTGTTTGCTCCAGGTTCTGTAAGAGCTCCATGGAACACACAGGGCAAGCAGAGACCTGGTAGCTGTACCCTCCACGTGCCTTATCTTTAAGCAGTTGGTAAAATCCCAAGTCAAATGGAACATCAAGATGTTTGTGTTGGGCTTCCCCAGGGAAGCTTCATCTGTGATCAAATGTGATCTGTTTTCCTCCTTTGGGGCATGTAAGATACTCCACAAACACCTCTAGGGCAATCCAATCCAATACACTGGACAGAGCTGAGGGTAACATCTCGAGATGCAGATTGAACCAAAACATGCTGAGATGGCAGGATTCCTAACTACCAGCATGTCATGTTTTAACCCATTTGTAC